AGAGTGCAGTGGGATGAGGAGTTTGGAAAAAGAAAAGCATTTGGGGATGCAGTCAGCTATCAAGTGTATGTCAGGGCTGACAAAATCAGTAAGATTTCTACCTAAGCAAAATCAGGTTCTTTCAGTGGACAACACTGTCTTATTTAAATGGTAATATCAGCTGATGATTATGTTTATTGGAGATATATCCACTTGAAAGGAGGAAAGCAATTAAAGGTGTTCAAGGACAGAGCAATTTCATTTCTGATGTTTGCGTTAACAGAGATTTACATTAAAGAGAAAACTCTCATACACCTACAGGTAGAATGGTATTTGGAAAAACAGAATGAGGTTTATCCTTCACCTGAGGTTTCACCTGTCTAAACTGACCTCTGACCAGTTCCATGCAGTTGCTTTTCAAACAACTTAACTTTCAAGTGAGCGTTCCCTCTTCCCCAGGACTGGAGAGTACCCCCCTACCCCAGGTAGTCTAGACCATAGCCAAAGAGGAGCGATCTGCAGACAAGTAACCGGTTTTGGAGGAAGAAAAGAGGAGGTTTCAGATATTAGAGAGGCCACCCTCCTGTTCCATCTAGCAGACAGGTTCAGGGTTTTGGTCTGTCACATAGTTCCTCGCAGGCCAGTTGACAATGTAAAGGATGGTATGTTAGCTGCAGCAGTACAGGGTTAGGGGAGGGAAAGGAGAATTACTGATTCTTCCTTATCTCTTCTTGGAGAAGAGGGAGGTTTGGGATGCCTATCTTTGGCTCCTGCCCTTATGTTAATTTTCATGTAGATCTGCATGAAATGCTTCAAGTGATTATGGGGTGCAGTTTGGCCACCCCGCAGGAAAAAGGTTTTCTTGTGATTGCAGTGGTAAAACAGTCGTGTCATAGTTCAAGTTTTCTGCCAGAAGAATATTGGCATGTTTAGAGAGATCAACTTATCTTTGCAGTATTGACTCCCTAAAATGTGTGGCCCGTACAAAATGCATACTGGTGATGTTTATCCCTCAAGCATTTCTCAGTGCCATTTGGTAAGGTTTAAAGACCTCACTCGTGGCTTCGGTACTTTCCAGTAATACAGCGGTTACAGTGCCGTGCCAGTAATCTCTTTGGAGTGCAGAAGCCATTTCTGCCAGGCTGTCTACAGGATAAGGTTGGAAGCATCCTCTGGATGCATTTGGACTGGGATGAATATTGTTACCTTAGACAGCTGCTGCAGCGTGCGCAGTGCTGGTGATTACTCCATTTGTTAAGCTGTGGTTTTGCTATCCCCGAAGGAGAATATTCTTCATTTGAGCAGGACGTGCACTCAAGACACAAAAGGATGTTTGGAGAGATGTTTGACACCAATTTGAATGTATTCTCAGTCTTCCTTTCTCTCTCCCCTTCTCTTTATTTGACAGAAATGCTTAGAGCTAAAAACTAGCCTGTTGGCCCAGCAGAAAGGGACTCAGTCATCACTGGAACGTCTCAAAACCCTCATTAGACTGATGCAAAATGAGCAGATGATTCAGGTTACCATGACGACCACCACCACCTCCTCCCTGCTAACTGTGCCCTGGATCAAACCCTCCTCTGCCTCTGCCGCCATGCATAAAGCCTTGCAGCAATCACAGGGCAACAACTGACAGAGCCAGCTGCGAGAGAGCGAAGGAAGGGGGGGAAAGAAACTTTGCACACATGCGCAGAGGAGAGATTAAACAAAGGAGAGAAGGAACAATCTCAGTTTTGACATGCGTAGAAACTTGCAAACCCGATCGGTCCAGTTTGTAGGTCACTGTGGCAGCAGGTTCCCACGGAGCGGGTTGTGCTGTGGTTTTGTATTTGCCGAGACCTTCAGTGCTTATGAGATTTTTTTTTGTTATGTTGGCCTTAATGTATTCATGACTGAGGATGAACGGGAAAAGTATGGCCAATAGGAAGCGGGATATCCTTTTGTGGGGAGCAGACAGGTTTGCAGTTCTGCTTTAAGGGGAAAATTTTCAATGCAAAGAGTTAGTGAGCTAGTAGAGAAGTAGTTGGGCTGAAAGCTATGTGTGGGAGGGAAACCGGTGAGAAAAACAGAAACTGAACTACTTAGGACTTGACATGGATTCTTATCAGAGGAACAAAGGTGGCCCCGTTGATTCAAGTGACCTGGAGATGGGGCCGTTTTGACCAGAACGGCATCACGGACACTCACAGAGCCTTCGAAACAAAAGATCGCTTTTTTCAGTATTATTAGAGTTGAGAATTGCAGATATTTAAATAAAGAAACTGTATGAAGCTAGTGTTTCTAGTAAAATATTGAAGTATTTTGATGCTGATGCTTCTGTATATGCGTTCTGAAGTATTTAAAAAAGTATGACTGTAAAACTCCTTACTTTTTTGCAGGTCCTTTTTACTTATTTTGCTATCAGTGTATTTTTCTCATGGAGTTTTTGTGCAAGATTTAGCATAAACCATAATAGTGGATATCTTTGGCAGGTTGAGTTTCATTTTTTAAAGAGATTATTTCGGGGGTTTTCTTTGTTGTTAATTTTGGAGATTTTTTTAAAGAAAAAAGCAAATAAATAATCTGGTTTTTGTTTCTTGCCAGTACAGATAATATGCCAAAAAGATAACTTTACATTTTTGTACTGCATTTTTATTGTTAAAAATATGTAACGTGATTTTTTTTATTATTATTATTCTTTTTCTTTTTTGCTTGCAGAAATATCTGCTGAAATGGTACAGGAAAAAAAAAAAGACTGCCTCAAGGGGTTGTTTCTCATTACTGGATAATATCAAGAGTTCTGAGGGAGGGACAGGCTGTGAAAAAATTTTAAGGGTTTGTTGGGGTTTTTTTGGAAACTTGATTCCTTTTGAAGATTTTGTTGGATTTTAGCACATTTGGGAAGCATTTAGCGTTAGCCTGAGAAAATCCCAGTGCGCCTGCTTGTTTCACTAGCTAGTCTTCCTGATACTGCAAGGGTCCACCTGGCCACCCCATAGGTCACGGGCCCCCCCGTCACCCTGCGGCCTGCCTGGGAAGGTAGTGATGGGCACCTCGGTTTTTCTCAATGTCACACCCCCCAGATGCCGTCATCTGTCATTTATGAGTTCTCTGTCAGTTAGCACAACAGGTACTTAAGGAAAGCAAGAAGCCACCAGAGCACAACACAAGGCTAGTCTCTTATATCAGCATATCACATGGTGCCGAATATCTTTATTTTTTTTTTTAATTAAAAAAACACACGAGGGACTGGCTTTTTCCATTGCCCATCACTAGGCAGCACATGGTCCCTTCAACCATTTTCACAACTCCGGGAGAAACTGTGCAGTACTATACAAATCTATTTTAATACACAGCACTCAGTTGAACAAGATTTTTATATTCTTTTATTGATGAACAAAGTGAACTAAGTAAAACACAATTGTTATACATTGGTTATTGTATGCCAATTATGCATTCTAACGTGGCTTGCAATGTACATGTTTTCAGGTTTAATGATTTTTTTTCCTTCTCAGACAAATAAAAAAAGGAAAAGCGTGGAAGGTTGAATATGTGCAGAATTTCTGAAGAAATGTCTTGGACTGTGAAAAGTAGTTATTTTGAAAAGGGGACTGTCCAGTGGATAGTATGCATAGAAAAAAAAAAAGTGTTTGTCTTAATTATGCCAATGTAGTTTTACTTCTTTATGATGCATTAAACTTCATTGATGATTTAATGGTGGTGTCATCGTCGTGATATCCTCTGCTGAGGGGATGCAGCATCGTGTGCCCAGGGCCCGCGCTGTGACCCCTTCCCACGCCCGACTCTGGCTGAGGGGGGGAAGTGACTGGTGCTGATTTCTCCACCCACTGTCTTCCATTTTCAGATTTAAATGATGTCAGAATGTCTACAATACTTTCTGCTTTCCTTCTTCCGAGAAGATGGTCTCTTCCTTGAGGCCACCATATCTCCCAGGCAGGGGCACTTTGTCCACTCCCTTTCTTGGCGTCCCACTGCTTGGAATAATTTCCTGTCCCACTCTGCCCCGGATCTGTACGCAGAGGTGTTGTTATTCCTCTTGCATCTCTTGTGGGTTGCATTTTTAAAAGTTTTCACCAGGATCTAAACACTGCAGCAGGCTTGGCTGAAATTGAGATGAACTGAGTCAGTCTGAGAGCAAGCCTAGGGTTCCAAGAAGGAAAAAAGGTTACCCAGGGTAACAGGTTGCTGTATGTCAGCCAAGCTGTCTGCACACGCTCCTTACAGCTTTTGTGCACGCTGCAGGCAGCGTGGGCTTTGCTTATGGTGGGTTACTGGAGAGCAACCTGCTGCAGACCGAGGACATGCAGTTGACTGCAGCAGACCTGTTGATAGACCTGTGGGCTTTGGTTTCAAACTCACACTTTCAGATGCTCTTCAAATGCATGGTGGGCCTTTTTTATTCAGTTGTTCATAACTCACTGTGCAAGTCTAGTAATTAAAGAACAAGAGATAGGTCCCTCGTAGGAGCTGTCTGGTTTCTGGCCAATGGAAGGGACTGAACTTCCCAATAAATCAAGCCAAATGAAAGCAAGACAATGTTACACCTGCATAAAACCTACCACAGTGGCTAATGCTTAGGCAGAACAGAAGCAAGGTTGGAGTTTTTTTGCCAGGGGTAGGGGCAAAGGGGTATTTTTTGTTTGTTTGGGGCTAGGGGGGATGCCTTGTCTTCTCCTTTCTGGCAGTGTCACTGTTTAATTTTGGGCTGCAGTTAGGAGAGGGAGCTCAGCTCTGTCCTTGCTTCCCCTGCAGCTAGGGTGCCCCCTCCTCCCTCCTGGCTTCTGCTACAGGAAGGGGACCCTGATTTTTCCTAACATTGCTTCCAATTTTAGAAGACACCTCTCCTTCAAACCAGCAAACCCAGAAATCACATGTAATTACCATCATCATCCTTCTGCCACCACCCTAACCTATAAACTCAGCGCTGTGGTAACAGACAGGAGCCAGTTACAGAGCTCTCTGTGTTGCCTTAATAATTAATGTGGTTGCAAGGGAGTGTAGGCTTATGCTAGCCTTTAATTTTCGATGGTAATTTAAATTACGGTTTTGGTGGAGATTTGTAGGAGCCACAGTACCCAATGTGTTCCTTGCTGCGGCACTGGGCATTGTCTCTGAAAAGAGTTGGGAACCACAGGGTTCCCAGCCTCCCCTCCCAAGCAAAAGTGATTTTTGACAGCTACACCAGACTTCACAGCTTCAGAGCTCTTTAGTTTAACATGCTAGAGTGTTTTCTGTGCATAGGACCTTTTCACATGCCATTAGTTATCTCGTGGAGGAGCTCTGCAAATAGCCATTCGAATGAAATATGTTGTCTCCAAGCCTGTCAGTTTTATATTTGCACCTCTTCAAATGTAATTTTGCCTACTCTTCTTTCTCTCACTGTCTCACCTTCCTCAGAAATGAGAGGAAAAGGAACTCCTCTGTCCGTTGGGAAGTATCACAGAGTGATGCCAGCCCTTCCCAGTGAACAGAGCGAGGAACGCTGGCATGGCACGTTTGTGTCAGGATCTCAGATGTTTTCAGGCTTCATATGCATAGAAAGAGAAGTCACACTGGATCCACTATGCCCTAAAGGCTCAAAAATCAAGAAACAAAGTCAAGAGCCCTCAATATTTTTTATATTTAGTTCGTGATCACTGGCAGCAATTTTTGTGCAATGGTAGTGTCAGTCCAGCTAGCAGCTTATCTTGTGGTAGACCACTATGTAAGGATGACGGCGCAGACTCTACAGCAGCTATATTAGGAGTTTATTCTACATGCCAACATACCCGTCCCATGCTGGTTTCCTAGAAGTTTGATGGCCTATTAGAACATTTAAACTTTTAGAAGAGTGCATTATAAACTGACGTGTACTTTTTGTTCTGTGTTCTGCAGGACCTCTGTAGTTGAAAAGAGAGACATTACACTGAAACGAGTGGCAACAGCCACATGAGATAAAACTCCACTCACTTTAATCAGGTTTTGCCAACTGCAGCTTATTTTGCTTAGAAACTGAAGCCTGGCTTCTGAGATCAATCACTAGCAACTGACTGATGCAAACAAAAAGTGCCAGACTCCACTTCTGTAAGCCACTTTTAAGTTCACCATGGTGAATATCATTAAAGGAAAAGGTTTTTTTTCCTCCCTTAAAAAAACAAACAAAAAATTAAATTGTCATGATAGAAAAAATACTACAAAGCATACACAGGCACGTAGAGATTCTAGCCAGGGAGAAGGAAAAAAAAAATGCCATTGCTCTTTGAAGTTGTTGTTTGCATTTGTATTGGCGGATTGCAGATGACTTCTGTGTTGTTCAAATGCAGCAGAAATGCTACATCCCAACCTTTGATTATCAGCCTCGCTCCTTAAGAAGTTACCACGGAAATTTTAATTCACTTTTGCATTTCATCTTTGGGCCTGAGCTGCAGCAATAAATAGCCTTTCCCCTCAATATTCATGCTAGAAACATATCTGACTGTCAGTCCAGTTGCTGTTGACTAAGCAATCTTCCAGTAGCTGAGATGTGAACTTTGCCACAAACATCTCAGTGCTTGTGCTTGGCACTGCTCCGTTGATCATGTGTACTCCTGCCCCCCACTATGGTTGTGGCGAGACTGCAGAGCAGAAGTGCTCCTGTGATTGCGGCTCTCTGTC